AACATCATATATAGTATTGCATATCAACTGAAATTTTACAATAAAAACCCCATAAAGAAAAAAGAAAAAAATTCAGACTTCTTCTCTGGTACGAAGGGAGGGTCAAAAAATTTTACTCAAATTTTCTAGATCGTGGAGGCACTGTGCCCCCAGCTCCCATGATGTGGAAGGGATAACTGTAGTTGTTGCCTTTGAATTTGTCAGTGGTACAAACCAGGAGAGAACAGGATAGGCTGGATGGGGGAGAGGCAGAACAACAATGAGAGACAAGAAGGCCGCATGTAACTTGGGTGGAAGAGATGAAACAGCTGCCGGGGAGTTATTTGGGGTGGCAGCATGAAAAAGCTCCAAATTTGGGTTTCCAGAGATCCCTCACATATTTTCTTAGGTATAAAAGGGAAGAGGAAACATATTTAATTATTGTCAGGGAAAGAAAAACCTCTGTCAATATTCAACCTGATATTGCCAATGGCAGATGGTCTAGTAGAAGGAGTATTGGCTTTGAACTAGGGTTTCAGTTCCGACTCTGACTCTTTCAGCCTGTGTGACCTTAGGAAGGTTATTTTCCCTCTCTGGGCCTCTGTTCTCATCTATAAAAATGAGTGGGTTGGACTCAGTCTTTAAAGTTCATTTCGGCTCTGTGTCTTTGCTTGCATGAGGACTATGACTTGGAGGGATCTCACACCCACCCCACAGAGATTTGGCCCAGAACCAGAAAATCCATCTGTTCTAGGTATATGAAAATTAGTTTTCACCATTCTTTGAGGCAAGGAAGGCAGGAAGAGGAAAGGGGAAGTGGAAAGAATAAGCATTATATAGTGCCTGCTATGTGCCAGGCACGGTGTTAAGTGAAGAGAAGAAAGATTTCATTGAGGAGATGGTCTGTGGATCTCTGGTTCCTTGGGCAGATTGAATCCATTGACCATTTGAGTAAAGTTTGGTAGTGTAGCCTTCAGGGGTCTGTGACCCCTATGGGAGTTCAGTAAACACTTGTCTCACTCATGTGACGGAGAAATATATCTTTCCCCAGACCAAGACAGAATTAGATGTAATGACCCTCTTCTAATGATAATCATTGTAAACCAGAAACACACCAGGACCATGGGGTAGGTTGGAGAGGGACAGCCGAAGCTTGATTCTATTCTAGTTGCCACTCTCAGACTTTCAGGAAAGAGGGAGGGGCTTGGAGGCTGGGCCCTGTCCTCTTGTCCCTTAATAGAAGCAGACAGAGAAAGAGGAGGTCTCCTGGACATAGGCATTAAAAGCAAGAGGGCACAGTGGCTGTCCTAGCACTGGGAATGAATCCCTTTCTTCTCCAGGCCCTAATTTTCTGAATTTGTAAAGTGGGCTTGATGCCCTCATACTGTGAAGACAAAGTTCCATCCCCTGTGTAGGCTGAGCACTCAGGACAGAAGATTCTGTCCATTTGGGGCTTTTATGGTATTGTGGCAAGATGCTAGTTAATGTTGGTGCTAAGGCATCTTGCCTAGGAAACTTGAGTATCCAAGCTCAGGCCTGACTGCTCAGGGGAGCAGTTCTGTAAACAGCTTTTTAAATAAATAACTCAGTTCAATTCAGTGAACATCTATTAAGCACCTACTATGAGCCTAATTGGAGAGGTCCTTATTTGTAGGACGCAGGCAACAGGAAGTCACTGAGGACCAGCGAGTAGGGGCACAACATAATTCAGCATGGGCCTAAGAATATTATTTTGGCCATCTGGATGAATGATGAATTGTAAAGGTAAGAAACTAAAGGCAGAGAGACCAGGTAAAAAACCCCTGGGAATTCCAGCATGATAAGGGCCCTAATTAGGGCATTGGCCCTATGAGTGGAGAAAAGGAAGGTATTATAGGCCAGGCCTAAGTCAGGGTCAGATTAGAAGGAATTGAGATACTTATAGGTCATTTAACAGTTAACAGAAAGAGGTTTATTTAGCCATAGCACCTAACCTCTCTTCTATGGCTTTAGAAATAAAGAGATTATAGACAGGTCCAATGGAGTTGTGATTTCTAGGCTCTTTCTCCTGGCATCAGAATCAATAGCTAATGTCGCCTTCAACGACTACTGGCTGTCTCAGTAAAGGGATCATTACCCTTGGGTCTGACCCTACTCGATAGCAGAAGCTTATCGTCTTCCTCCCCTGCCTTGGACTTGCTGATGCCCAGATGTACCCATTTTCCAGATGGCAGTGCTGCCTTTAGTGGCAGCAACATGCCTATTCTTTTCAGAAATCTTACTAGGGTGGCTCTAGTCAATCTGTTCCTTGTCTGCAGCGTAGTGATGGAGGGGACTGCAAGGCATGAGCTGCATGACTGGAAGGTGTCATCAGAATGCAGCAGCAGCAATGAAGTAGATTGGAGATGGTTTCCTGAAGTCACCGCTGTTTGAGAATTTTCATTTCAAGGAAGACTAAAGTCATGAATTTGAAGAAAGCCCATCCAGAGTCACAAGACCAGCTGGAGATAGGGGACAAAGGAATCTTCTAAGAAAATTGGCACCCCCCCCCACACCGCAAGGCCATGTGGTGCAATGGAAAGTGCCATATTGACTCTCTATGTGACTTTAATGTCCTCCTTTGTAAAATGTGGGGTTGGATCAGATGACTGCAGATTGGATCCATTTGCCATTTGGGCAGGGTTTGATAGAATAACAGGACTTCTTCCAAAAAACCTACTGGATGTTACATAAGGAGGAAAGTTACTTTTTTTTTTTCCTGGGATGCCCCTGGTTGGCCCTCTCGCTCTACTTCTCAGCTGTGTTCATACCTAAAGCCAGTGTAGATGCCAAATGATCCAGATTCATTGAAGAAGGGAAAACCATGGTACCCCTTCCTCCTCTCTCTTCTGGACTGTTTGGCCAGCTCTACTGTCCATCCCTGATTGACAAGGGCTGAGATGGGACATGGGTCCCCAGCACTACAGGTGGCTGACCTGGAAGTCTTGGGCTGTCTGCCGTACCACCAGTGGTCACAGGCCAGTCTCAAAGCATCTTGCTTGTGACCAGATCTGGCTCTAGACCAGGGTGGGACAAATGATGGCATTTGTACCCTGGAGGGCTATTCTCTCCCTCCCTCCCATATGCACATCCTTTTCTTTCTCTTCTCTTTCTGTCTTCCACTCACAACTCCTTTCTTCTTCTTCTCTCTCCCTCTTTTTCTTCCTTGAACCCAGCCTGTGTCAGGACTACCAGTAGATACCCCCAGAGATGCTGCTTAGGCTGTTGAGAATGTCAAGTTAACAACAAGTGTAGTTCACAATGGAAAGGGTTGGTGTCAGGGGCTGGCCTGAAGCTTCCCTTCCCCAGGAAAGAGTAGAAATTTAGGGCCTTTGAGCTCTGAAGCCCTATGAAGCCCCTCTTCCCCTTTCACCCTCATTCCTTTCGTCCCCAGGTCCTATCACTAGGTAGAACATTGCCTGAAACAGGTGAGGAGGTAGAGGAAGAAAAGTTGTTTCTTTACTTTGTAAATTCTTCACTACATGGACAATCCCGCCGTTCTTTAATGCCCATAGGCATCCCTCTTCTGTCCCTCTGAATTCAGTGAGTAGCTGAGGGTACTAGCTTCAGAGAATGGAGCTGAACTGAGCAGAAGAGAGGGCTGCAGGGCAGCGGGGGCTGAGCACAGATGAGGGTGACTTGGGTAAGTCAGGAGGAGTCCCTGGCAGAACTCCTCCATCTCAGTGCTCCCTGCGGGTGGACAGGCCTTTTGCCTCCCTTCAGATCAGGGGTAGGAGGTGGAGCTCCAGGGAGGGCCCTGCACTTGCTTCTTGAAACCCAACTCTCTGCCTTAGGAATGAGGCCTGGAGGACCAGGTGGCTGGCTTGAGTCTGGCTGACTCCCTCCTTTCTTCTCCTCATGGCCTCGCTGACTCAGATGCTGCTGCCTCTCTGCTTGGGTCATCCTGACTGCCTAGGTGCTGGGACCTTGGTGCAGGCAGAGATCCCCGGGAGATGGGAACATCCTATCCACTAACCTGCTGCACTCCTCCAACTGGCTTGTCCTTCCACCCTGCAGGCCATAGGTGCTTCCTGAGCACTAATGATCCCCGCTTCTCCTTCTCCTCTTCTTTTCTCCCTTCCCTTCCTCTCCCTCTTACTCCTCTTCTTTCTACCCTTTCTCCAGGTCATTTTCTGCCTCATTTTTTACCTAGCCTTAATGACTGAATGTGTGTTGCCTCACTGAGACGAAGACCCATTAAAGACCTTAGCTTAAAAAGGCCAAGGTCTCCCACTGCTTCCAGAGCCATCTCTAGTCATCCTTACATCTTGTCGCTGGACCCAGCTGGCTCCTGAGGAAAAAGTGGGGCTGGTGACTTGGCATAGCCCTCCCTCACTTAAATCCAATTCACTTTCATGTCAGGGCATCACCTCCCTGATAACAGGGTCCCCTTTGAGAAGGAAGGACAAACAACAGCAACCTCTTCAAGTTTCTCTTGACAATGTGAAAATCCCTTTCTTTACAAATCTGTGAGCCCAGGGGAACCCCACTCCCGCCCTGCTCCCACCCACCCCGGGCAGAGTATGTTGCTCTACGTCTCCTCTCTCTCTCTCTCTCTCTCTCTCTCTCTCTCTCTCTCTCTCTCTCACACACACACACACACACACACACGGACACACACACCCCTAACAAAAAGACGGGCTAGTGCAGGGAAGATGAGAGGTTCCCCATCACTACCAGGCATTTCTTCTCCATCCTCCAGCCCGATGTGCCTCATCCACCCAAGCAGCTTTCCTTCCCTAAAGTGCTGAGGAAGAGGAAACCTCCCATGTGGGGAAATTCCTCCTAGCATAGAAGCTGAGGTCCAGGGAATCATTTGTTCTCCATCCTCCTCCCTCCTTTCCCTTCTCTTCCTCCTCCTGTTTCTCTTCCTCCTGTTTCTCCTCCTCCTCCTCCTTCACCTCCTTTTCCCCTCTGCCCATTCCCTCGTCATCCCCTCCCACCAGCCTTGTGGTTGTTACCACTCACCGTGAACTAACACGCCCCCTGGTGTTTGCATGCAGTCATTGCATCCAGCAGATCCTGGAGGCTGTTCTCCATTGCCACCAAATGGGGGTCGTCCACAGAGACCTCAAGGTGAGTTTTCTGCCCCAATGCTCTGTCCGTCTGTCGTCTTTCCGTCCGTCTTCGTATCTTGCATGCTTTTTTAGAAAAATATTTTTTTAAAAAACTGGGTCAGCTCCAAGTGGTTCCAAGTGGTTTCTGACAGCAGTTAAGCTCCTCTTCCCTGCCCCACCCCCTACATCGCTGTATTTGTATGTATATGGAGAGTGATATGGTACTAACAGGGTGTAATTGGTGCCCTCAGCTGGGCCCTTAGTATGTTTATTGATACCAAGCTAGCCTTGCAGGCAGTGTAGTTTAGTGGAAAGAGCACTGGATTTTGAGTCAGGGGACTTGGGTTGGAATCCTAGTTCTACCATTTAATCTGTGGACCTTGGGTAAATCACTTCACTGCTCTGGGCTCTCTCATCTGTAAAATGTGAAGGTTAGACTTGATGGCCTCTAAGGTCTTTTTTAGCTTTAAACCCTTGACTGTGCTTTCATGGATGCACACACTCTCTGGTTAGTCTGCCAGGAGGCTTGTCGGGTATGTGATGAAGAGGTGAAAGACAGGGCTGCTGCATTTGGACAGGCCCTATTACCCCTCTGCAAACAACGCAGGCTTTTCCCACTGTCCTTCAAAGGCTGTGATCATGGTGTCTGATAGCCAGAGGATGGCTGAGTAGAAGGTGTTTTAGCTAAGTTTTATTGACAAATGGGGTCAGCATGGTGAACAGCTATTTGAAGTGACCTGGGAAGTGAGTTTCGGAAGCCAAAAGAAGCAAGATTTCTTCCCTTTCTATCATTTTTCTCCCTATCCTTCAGATAAGCCCTTCCTGGCCCTTGCCAGGCCTTCCCCTTGGGTTGGTTCTTAGCCCCCTCTCTTCCCAGCTGGGCTGTGATTGAGGAGCTGCTGGACTGAAGTTAACGCCCTGAGCCACGAGCATGTCATCCCTTTTACTCACCGGCCTTAGCCTTGCTTGGTTGTGGGTGGTTGTATTTGCTTCCTAGATGGTGGAGGGGTTGGTCTATCTTGTGGTCTGGTACTTCTGGGGTCAGTAGGGCACCTTCATTTCTGGAAGTCATGCCTTTTTCTACAACATCATGGATGTTGTGAGCTGGTTTCAAGTTAGCAGTGGTCAGGTAGAAAAGTCATCAGGATCCTTGTGCAAAGGGTAGAGCATGGGAGAGACTTTTTATCCCACTTAGGGCAGGGAAGTTGAAGCCATTCATTGGATCAACCTCTGATTTCACACCTGGACACTCACATCATTGCCATCAGGCTCCCTGCCCCAGAGTTCAGGTCTGATGCCAAAGGCCAAGTGGCCACTCTCCAGTCTGCATGCCCTGTCTGATTTTCTTTGTGTCCTAGTCTTTTGTTTTCTGTTGCCACGTAGGTGCCCTGTATTTTCTAGTTTCCTCATGTCTCTCCCATGCAGCCCAACTTTCTGCCACAAAAAAGAAAAAGGAGAGTCTATGGATGCTCTCAGACTATGAAGGAAAAACTGTCCCTTCCCCTACAGCCCTCATGGAGGGAAAAGAAGGCAACTGGCCAGCTGGGAGTGTGTGTGTGTGTGTGTGTGTGTGTGTGTGTGTGTGTGTGTGTGCGCGCACATGCAAGCACACGGGTGCACTGTGGGCATTGCTAGGGTTGCCTGGGAATATCTGGATGTCTTGGTTGAAGATTCTCAGGGACTGGGGCATAGGCAAATTTGTTTTTCTCTTATCCTTAACCTTGTTGCTGCTATTCATTATTTTTCTAATTAACTCTAGAGCCAAGATGCTTCCAATCTGTGCTTCCTTTCCCTCTCCAGGTATTTTCTGCAAACAGGGAGAGAATCTTTGTTGAAAAAAAAAAGGAAAAACAAACAAAAATGCCTAAATAAAAAAATACTGTGTGTTTTGAATGTAATCAGCAGAATTACTGATGAAAATGTGCCAAATCATTCCAGCATAGCCTCAACCTCTTCCAGTAGAAATGTGGCCAAAAAGACAAGGAGTCTGCTGCAGGAGGCCCCTCTTCCATCTTGCTACTGGGTTAGAAAGTGTCCCAAATGCTCCAGGGTGAAACTTCTTTTTTAATTATAATGGGCCTACCCAGTGTCCTGTGGAAAGAAAAGGGCTTGATGTTGAAGGGTGGACTAAGAAGTTAAGACGAGAATCAGGGCAGTGAGCCTCAGAGAAAACCCCACCGTGCCTGGAATAGCCCACCCCACAGAGAGAGTGACAGAGTGGAAACTGGTGATAAGGTGGACTTCTTATCTCCTACTTAAACAGTCCAGTCAGACCCTATTAGATCTCTCTGTCATGAGGCTTTGGGGGCCAAGGCTAAAAATGGGCAGGATAGACAGCTGCCCAAATAATGATAATGAATAATGCCCATTACACTACCCTAGTGTGATGTATTAGCAAGCCTAATGAAGGAGACTTTTCAATATGACTTTTCTAATTCTTCATGCCAGAAAATTCCACCATCCATGGTATGGAGGTACTTATTTTGTGACGAAGGGTTCTCTAAGATCCCTTCTGACTCTAAAATCCCATGATCTCATGTCCCCCTCCCCTTTTTTTTAAAACAGCAATGAATTAAGGCCTCCAGTGAATGCTAACACATGAGACATAATTTTCAAACATGGTTGGGGGTTGGAGGCTAGGTTGTAATTTTCAGATCTTGTCATGGACTCCTAGATGTCTCCTCTAAATGACTGAGAGGCTGAGCTCTATTGTGGCTGATGCAGAAAAGATCATTTCAGCCAAAGAGTAGCTTGCCAGAGTGATCCTCCCTCTTGTTTATAAGGGCCCAAAGGGGAACCTCATCAAAGTGCATGGTGGCCCAGGAGCTCCTTCTTAATTAGCACAACCAGAGCTTTCTCTCTTATCTGATTGGTAGGAAATGGAAAGCAACCCAGTGTCACCTCTACCTTCCTGTAATTCTCACCCCTACCTGTTTGGTGCCTCTCCTTCCAGCTCCACCAAGGGGCAAGTTCTTTCACAAAGTGACTCCTTCCTGCCCCACTACTGGAAAATGTTGGCTCTGTTCTGCCCCTAATGAGAGGTTTACTTATGTAAAAGCTGTAGCTGAAGTCATATACTGACTTCACCAATTCTAGATGAGCTCTAAGGAACATGCACAGATTTCTGTCCATCCAAAAACCCCTTGAACTTCCCAATCTAGCTCTCCAGAACAAAGTCCCTCAACTGGAGCTCTCAGAATTCTTGGAATAGCCCTAAGGGGCCAGGGTAGGAGGCAGTATGTGCTTGATCCCTGCTGATATGGGAAAGATGAAGAAGCATTGGTTCTTGCAACTTTGGTAGCTCAGGAGTCATAATAGTCATGATAATCCACCTATACAGTGCATACTCATGAGCCAGAGCCCTTGAGAGAGTATGGAGACAGGAAAAAGAGCTGGGAAGCCTACCTGCCTGGTGCAAGCAACATACATTGTGTAATCCTGGGCAGCCAGCCAAGGCTGTGAGGAGAGGGAGGCTTTCCTACACAGTCTGCTTTCTGTGTAGTGAAATTTCAAGCCCCAAACCAGGGCTTTGAGCACCTACAAATGCCTTTGATTTTCTGCCATCTTGGTGGGGGGCAGGGTTGAGTGTACTAGGGCAGGCACAGCCTATAAAGATCTATTGAACATTCCCAGAGCAATATGATTTGCCTTAAAGTCTTGTTGACCATCTTCTGGGCATCAACTCTCTCTCCTTGGGCACATCCCATTGAGCATTACTAGACACTGCAGCTTTGCTGTATCCTGCCCCATCCCAATATCAATGCAATGAGGGTAGCTAAGGGCTTCAGGTGGGACATGCCAGATAGGGAAAAGCCACTTTATTAAACTCAGGTGTAAAGGCTCTAGATATGTTATTCAGCTCTACTCTTTTATTCCAAGCCCCTCTTCTTGGAATGTGGGTGGCTACTATGCCCATTATGGCTCTGGTAGTGTGGTGTAATGGGGAAAATATTGCATTTAGAGTCAGAAAACCTAGGTCCAAGTCCCGGCTCTTCTACTTAGTAGCTGTGTAACCTTAGGCAAGTCAGTTGGCTCCTCTGGGCCTCTGTATGTTTTCTCCTCTATGAAATGAGGGGATTGAACTACTTGCCTTCTAAGGATCCTTCTATTTCTAAATCTGTAATCAATAAAACATTTCCAGAGAAGACCCCTAGTCTTGACTACATGACTGAGAGTTGACTAAGGATTATTTTAATGCTTTGATTAGCAAGATTTCTCTTGCTAAAGTTTTGACTTTAAGATCTACTGAGTTTGAAGTTGGCCAGTGTGTATGTTGAGGCTTTGGGGGTGGTGATGGTTATATGAGGATCCACTTAGCATCTAATTTCCATTGGTGGAGATACCCCATTCTGAGTCATCTTCCCTTTAATTTGTGTTATGTTGGAAATTCAGATGGGGAAATAGGATAGAGACTCTCATAACCAAGCATTCAGCTAGACTGTGGGTAGAATGGAATTTTTGGAAACTAGTGTGGCCATGAGGATTTTGGTACAATAGCTTTAGCAGCTGTGATAGCAACTTCTCCTAATGGTTTTTGGATCTGGAACCAAGGTTGGAGCTGTGACCATGGTCTTCCCAGGGTTGAAACATAGATGTTGTTTTCTGGGGCCAGGAGTCTTTCTTGCTCACCCCTTAGAGTCATCTCAGCCAGTATTCCAGTGGTTTTAGTTAGGTGGGGTTCAGGAGAGAATCATCATTCTCAAGTAGAAATCCTTGTTGAAATTGTTTGGTCAAGTACTGAGTCTTCTTTGGTCTGAAAAGGATCCTTCCAGTAACTCACCTTCTCTGGCTAGATTGGGAATCTGTGTTAGATGACCTGACCTGGGAATGATGGCCCTTAAGTCTGAAGCTTTCTGTGTCATGCTACAGCAGTCATGGGAGTAGGCCAAAGTAATTTTCTCTTTCCTGACTGGAGGAAGTATAAATTATAGGTAACCTGGTTATTCTGGCCTTCTGCTGCCCTCTGTGGAACTGATGTTTGAGCCCACTAAGGCTTCCATTCAATTAGAGAGCAGAACTTCCTTCTGGAGCAAGGTGTCTTTATCTCTTATAGCAGGGCAAGAGTTGGAGGCTGTGGCTATGCAAGGCCCCTCCGTTAAGAGGCAATGTGATACAATGGAAGAGAGCTGGCTTTGGAATCGGGGGTGTGAGTTCAAAACCTACCTCTGATGCTTACTGTCTGTGGGACCTTGGATAAGGCGCTTAATCTTGGGTCTCAGTTCCTCGTCTGTAAAATGAGGGCATTGGACTAAATGACTTCTGAGGTCATTTCCAGCTCTCGATCTGTGATCCTATGAATGAGCTGTGGGTTTTTGTTTTTGTCTTACCATAGGATGAAATGTAGAAATGGGTGCCAACAGGCTTCCTGCTTACAGTCTTTTAGTGGCATATCCTTGACTTTCTAGGGCTGGTAAAATGTACTTTAGGTGGAAGATTACCTACTGTCCTTCAAGGTAGCAACTAAGTCACCTTCAATTCTGTCTAGCCTACAGTTTCTAGGGGAGGCCATTGAAGAGAGTGTGAAGCAGCTATTCTGGTCCCTTGTGGGAGACTGAGTTTTCCAAGCTGGTTTAATGATTGAGATAACCAAGCCACAAGCATTACCATCTGCATCACAGGCAAACAGCTCAGTAATGACCAGGGAGTCTGAACCCTAAAGAGGATAGTGATGGAGTTGCTAATCAGAAGTACTGTCTTTGATTCCCGGAGAGGAGCTGAGGGCTTTTCTTCTTGGGGAGGCCCCAAGGATCCTGGGTTATCAGTCTTAGAGTTAAGGGAAACTGCTCAGAGGAAGAGGTTTTAGACTTAGAAATGGTGGCTGCTAGTACCCGGGACAGCTCCAGCGACTGTATTCTGAAGCCCCAGGTTTGCCTGAGGGGCCTAGAAGTCAGAAACATCAAATCACAAATACTTATTGGGAGTCAAGACAGAGTGATGAGGGATGTAGTGGGAAGAGGTTGTGGGATTGGTCCCCTCCTGTGGTAGAGCCATTAGGAAAAGATGACTAAAGTAGGACTCTTATCCTTCTCTAGGAGGAATTGGAGTTGCTGAGAATCCCTAGAATGGGGAAACCATAGGTCCAAAAAACTGTAGCAGTGACATCCAGTCCCAGCATGGCATGGAGTCAGGAAGGCATGAGTTCAAATCCTGCCTCACATACTTGCTAACTATGTGATCCTAGGCAAGTCACTTTACGTCTTTGTGTTTCCATTTCCTTATCTGTAAAATTAGGGGGTTGGAACTGATGATTTCTTTTAACTTTAAATTGATGATCTTACAACTTGTGATCCGGAGGACATTTAGGAAGTGATGTTCCCACAAGCCACCCACAAGCCACCAAGGCTGTCAGCTGCCTCCTTCCCTCTGCCCTGCTGAGCCCAGATCCTGACAAACTGGAAATGTGGCTCTGGGTGCCAGTCGAATGAGCTCTCATCCCAGGGCCTGGCAGCCTCTCCTTGGCAGAGTTCAATCTAAAGTCTCTAACCCTTTTCTGCAAACTGTTTGTTGTTGTTTCTGTTTTGTTTCCCATTCCCCACCCCTGTCTCCCTCTTAACCCTCCCCCTGTGTTTTCACAATATGTGGTGCCACTTGCACACTTTGCTGACTGACTTGGCCCGACAGCCAGAGAATCTCCTCTTGGCTAGTAAGTGCAAAGGAGCCGCAGTGAAACTGGCAGATTTTGGCCTGGCCATCGAGGTGCAGGGGGACCAGCAGGCATGGTTTGGTGAGTGATGGGCTGGGTGAGGGCAGAGGGTGTGTGTGTGTATATGTGTGTGTATGTGTGCACGCGTGTGCATGTGTGCATGGATGTGCACATGGGCACATGTGTGTAAGCATGTGTATGTATAGGTATGCACTTGTGTGCATTGTGTTATGTGCATGTGTGTGGTCATGGTTGGGGGACAGCGGTGGTGAACCAACTGCAGCTAGCCTTCCTACCAAAGATCCCAATTGCCCCATCTCATGTCTCTGTTCTTACTTCCTGGCCAGGTTTTGCGGGCACTCCTGGCTACCTGTCCCCAGAGGTTCTGCGTAAAGAAGCTTATGGAAAGCCTGTGGATATCTGGGCTTGTGGTGAGTCTGCCAGGGAGGCTGCATAGGAGCTGGAGGACAGCCCAGCTTGTGGTAGGATCATGAGGTGAACCAGGATACATGCCACTAGGAAGAAGTACATGCCAAAGGCTCATTAATTCAGCTAGCTGTAGCCAGGAAGCCTGGATGGTTGGGCTAGTTATAAACTGGACACCACCATTTTACCCAGTGGTGTAAATATCTACGTTGTTATTGAGTTGTTTTCAGTTGTATCTGACTCTGTGATCCCATTTGGGGTTTTCTTGGCAAAAATATTGGAGTAGTTTGCCATTTTCTTCTCCAGTTCATTTTGTGGATGAAGAAACCAAGGCAAATGGGGTTAAGTGACTTGTCTAGGGTCACACCACTAGTAAATGTCTGATGCAGATTTGAACTTAGGCAGATGAGTCTTCCTGACTTTAGGCCCAGCACTCTATCCATTGTGTCACCTAGCTGCCCTAGATATCTGTATAACCTAGAAAAAAATCACTCTGTATTTGGGTCTCAGTTTGCTCATCTGTAAAATGAGTAAGTTGGCCTAAGTGATCTATAAGGTCCCTTCCAACTCTAAATGATCCTCTGACTTATGACTTTGATGACAGGTGCTTATCTATCCATTCATTTACTCAATAAAATGTATTAATGTATTAAAAATGTTAATGCTAATTAGTATACAGTAGGGACTGAGAAAGAAACAGAGATAAATTAGGCCTGGTCTTTACTTATAAGGCTCTTACATTCTAGTAGAGGCAGTTATATATTACATAGATTATACATATTGTAGTAAGAAACTAGGGGAAGCTATATCACACAGTAGATAGAGCACTGGCCCTGGAGTCAGGAGGACCTGAGTTCAAATCCAGCCTCAGACACTTGACACTTACTAACCGTGTAACCCTGAGCAAATCACTTAACCCCAGTTGCCTCACCAAAATTAAACGAAAACAAAACAAAAAAAGAAATGGCACAGCCTAATTGAGAGTGACCAGTCTTGGAGTTAGAAGGATCTGGGTTCAAGTCCTGCCTCGGGCATACACTAGCTATGTGACTGTGGCCAAATTACTTATCCCTTAAGTGTGCTTGGGCAGTTTCCCCAAACCATAAATTATAAATCAATTGCCAGTCTGCAACAATGGAGGGAATTTTCACACTTAGAATGCCCAATGCTGAGTAAAATCACAGTCTAGGACCCCTCCTCTTTAAAAAATGTAATAGCATAACTTCATAAAAATACAGACAAGGAACAGGTGACCATTAGCTGAGGAGAGGCTTTGTGGAGAAAGTAACCTTTGAGCACAGCCAACAAGGGGCCATGATGGGGACACTCCAGGCATAGGGAAGAGAGCCTGAAAGTAGGAAAGCTAAGGAGTGAGTGACCTAGTCTGGCTGCAGCCTAGAGTACAGGAGGGGGATTGTTTTTTAAGGCTGAAAGGAGAGGGAGGGCTCAGGCTGTGGCAGGCCTTGAAGGCACTGCTGTGGAGTTTGGATTCTCTTCATTAGGCAGCAGAAAGCCTTTGAAGGGTTTTGAGCAATGGAGACTTATTATATATGGAAAGAAATAACTAGCCTCTCGCGTGCTAGCCTTGTAAACTCTCCCAATTTAATTTGAAAATGAAGAGATTACATCCTGAAGGTCTCTCCCAGCTCTAACAGGTGCCTGAGAGGGAGGAGAGCAACCTGAAGGCATCTGATCCCGGAAGCTGGCTTCCAGGAGAAGATAAGCATGAACTTTGTTGTGCAAAGTCAGAGAGAGAGGGACTTGAGCCTTTAGGAAAAAAATGCTCAACTCTAACTCTAATATATATATATTATATATATATGATATGTATGTGTTTATGGCTATAAACCTTTATGGCTTCAGCCTTTGCCAGCAGATACAATATCTAAGGTGCTGAGTGGTGCAGTGGATAGATTGCCAGGCCTACAGTTAGGAAGACTCATTTTCATCAGTTCAAAACCAGTCTCAGACACTCATTAGCTGTGTGAGCCTGGGCAAATCACTTAATCCTGTTTGCCTCAGTTTCTTCATCTGTAAAATGAGCTGGAGAAGGAAATGGCAAACCACTCCAGTATCTTTGCCAGGAAAACCCCAAATGGGCTCATGCAGAGTCAGACATGACTAAAACACTGAAGTGACTGACCAGCAGTATTTAATCCTAGGACTGTCTAGTAACAGCATAAATGTGTGACTTGCTTCATGTTTCTTCTATTCTGAGACAACTCCAGGCCATTTGAGATTAATGAAGTATGTGAAGCTGACTGTCTACTTCTAGAGAAAGACATTCCCAGCCCAGTTCAGTGTTATTGGGAAGTAGAGTTTTCTTTTCCAGATATTTTGGTTTTCTCAGTATTCCTTAAACAGATTTTGGCATGGTGGTAAAAACACGGAAGACCTGGGTCCTGGCTCTGGCTCTGGCTCTGGCACCAACTTGCTGAGTGACCTTATGCACGTTCTTAAGCTTTCTGTGTGTCAATTTCCTAGCACTTAAAATGGAGGGGATAACATCCAGCTGTCCTTCTTAGTTCAAAGAGTTATTACAAAATTCAAGGGAGCATTTAAAAAAAACCAACCCAGAAAGTGGTTGACAATTGGGATATTTTATTTTATTTTATTTTATTTCTGTAGGCAAAGAATGTAGTCAAAAGAGCAATGGAGTTGGAGTTGGGAGACGAGTTCAAATCTTGACTCTGATAATTGCTTCCCATGTGATCTTGAGAAAGTCACTTCACTTTTCTGAGAATAGTTTCCTCTTATGTTATTCTTATTGTTGTCAATTAATAATAATGGCTCACAATTATATAACACTTTAAGGTTTGCAAAGTGTTTTACAAATATCTCATTTGATCCCCACAACAACCCTGGAAGGCAGATGCTATTATTATTTCCATTTTACAGATGGGGAAACTGAGGTAGACAGAGGTTGCCCAGAGTCACACAGCTAGTAAGAGCTCTTCCTGTGGCTCCTCAGGGTACTGGGCTTATTCAGTCTTGAAAACTGTACTTGATGATGTTGGATTTCAACTCAGGTCTTCTTGACTCCTGGTCCAGCCCTCTATCCACTGTGAATAATGTGTAAGCATTTAAGTGCTTTTTATATTCCAGGCACTGTACTAGGTGCTGGGGATATGAAGACATAAATTAAGCAGTCCTTGCCCTTGGGACTCATATTCTACAGTGGGGAGTGAAGGTCGAAGGGGGTTCAGATAGATGCTGTCTAAGGTCCCTTCCATTTCCAAATGTTGTCTTCACTTAAACGTCTCTGGGCCTCAGTTTCCTCATCTGTAAAATTGGGGGGGGGGGGGGTTAGGCTAGATGGCCTCTGAGGTCCTTTCTGGCTCTACCCCTATGACTGTATGAGAGGCAAGGCCAGAAGCTCTGTGAGCCGGCTCAGCCCATGTCCTCCTCACTTATTTCACCACCCTTGCCAAGGAGACAGAATTAAAAGGTATCTGAAGCAAGAGCACAGAGATATATGGGAGTGGGGGGAGTGGCGCGAAAGCCTTTGGACCTCAAGGCATGAGATCTGCTTCCCCGAGCCTTGGTTTATAGAAGTGGCCAGCTATGGAGGACAGGACAAGGTCACTCCTTCCTTCCCTCCCCATCCCAATGTTCCTCCTCAGGTGTGATCCTCTACATTCTGCTTGTGGGCTATCCTCCATTCTGGGATGAAGATCAGCACAAACTTTATCAGCAGATCAAGGCCGGAGCTTATGATGTAAGTCCAAGCTTTTCAGAACTTCTTCTGTTGGGGATACGCAACCAGCGGGGGATGGGTCAGCAAGACCTTTGGGCCTTTTCTTCACAGAGAACTGGTTTTCTGTGCCCTGGGGGGCTAAGAGACCAAACTGCAATCTAGCTGACTCTTCCCTGGCTTTAGCATCTTCCCCCCCTCCTCCTCCCGGGACTTTCACTCTTTGCCCAGTGGGGTGGGGGCATCTTCTCGGCAGCCAGTCCCACGGGGGTCTGTTGGAAAGGGGAAAGGCTGGGTTTGACGTTCCTGTTCCCTATTTGTCCTTGAGTTGACAACTTTTGTGAAGGGTTCAAGGCAGAAAGGTGAGCTGGGGAGAGAGGTGTGAGATTTGGGGGATGGGGCGATGAGGAGGCAGGGTTGGTAAGAAGGCCCATCTTTAGTACTGATGATTCGGTCTTTTGGGGAAGTTCTAGGCACCGTTCTGGATTTCTTCTTGTGAGGTTTTTTTCTCTCTTCCTCCTCCTCTAGTTCCCATCCCCTGAGTGGGATACTGTCACTCCTGAAGCCAAAAACCTTATCAACCAGATGTTAACCATCAACCCTGCAAAAAGGATCACAGCTCATGAGGCCCTGAAACACCCATGGGTCTGCGTAAGTGTCTCCCTTGGGGCCCCAGGACTTGGCACGTAAGTGCTTAGATAGTTGGGCTTTCTTTAGGGACCCAGGAGGTGATGGGAACGAGGGTGGGTAGTCTTGTGGGATACCCCTGTGGCTTCTAGGAGTGCTGGACTTGTTTACTTTTGATGACTGTAACGTGTAAAGCTCTTACAACCAGGACAAATCAGGATTCTTACTCTTTCCAGGTTGGCAGGCCAATAGGCCGGTAGACACATTTCTTCTGAACTGATGATTAGACTTTGAAGTATTATTAGAATATCTACTATGGTTATCCCTTTCACATTGTGGCTTTCCCCTCTGTGGTTTCAAAATATCATTGCTCAGCATAAGAAATTAAATGGGAATTTTTTAGGAGTTTTGCAGAAGCTGCAGACAACACCCAAAGGCCAACAAATGACACAGAAAATATTTAGAAACTCAGTAATGCATAAAATATATGTGTAGTATTGTATAATATCAATATGTTTTGGTATTGTTTAATACCATAATAATTCAGACTTCTCTGGTGTGAAAGGAGGGCTAAAATTTTTTTTGTTTGTTTTGTTTTTAATTAATTAATTTATTTTTAGTTTTCAACATTTACTTCCACAAGCTTTTGAGTTCCAAATTTTCTCCCTATCTCGTCCCTCCCCCACCCCAAGATGGCATACATTCTGAATACCCCTAATCTGCTCTCCCTTCTATATCTCCCCCCTTTCTCTTATCCTTTTCTCCTTCAGTTTTCCTGTAGGGCAGGATAGATTTCTGAACTCCGTTTCCTGTATATCTTATTTCCCAGTTGCATGTGAAAACAATTTTTTTTAACTTTTGTTTTTAAAATTTTGGGTTCCAAATTTTCTCCCTTCCTCCCTCCCCACCCACTGTCATTGAAAAGGCAAGCAATTTGATACAGGTTATACATGTGCAGTCATGCAAAAACACTTTCATAGTTGTCATGTTGTGAGGGCTAAACATTTTTTGAGGATTTTCCAGATTGTGGGGGCACCATGCCCCTAACCCCTGTGATATGGAAGGGATAGCTGTAGTTTCAAAATAATTTGGTATATTACTTGGGAGAACAGATTAGAAAATTAGGATCAGTCTCCTCTCTCAGAGGACTCACATCCAGCAAGAAATCAACAAAAAATTGTCATAGAAGAACACCAGAAGGAAGATGGTTTGAGATTGTGCTGACTGGCTGGAGGATGGGTTGGTTTAGGCCAGTTAGGCTTCCTGGCCTTAATCTGTAATTGGTATTATCTCTCAGCTCTACGTCATCAGGTAGCCTGGTGGTGGAAACCTCTTAGGTTTGATGCCACTGTCTCCTCCCCACTGGCCTGGGGGAAATGGATGTTTTCCATTCCTAAGGGCCTTCTCCTGACCTTCTAATAGCATCTCCTCCTTCCCACAGCAACGCTCAACCGTGGCCTCAATGATGCACAGGCAGGAGACTGTGGAGTGTCTCAAGAAATTCAATGCCAGGAGAAAGCTGAAGGTAAAGTCTTTTATTTTCTTTAAAAATGCTGTTGGTGCCTTCTGTTTTTACATCACAGATATCTGAAGACATGGCCCTCCCTCTCTCACCATCTCCCCCAACCTGAAGTGATCATTCCCTTCTGAAAAGAAAAACACAAGCCACACAATGGTCACTTCTAACAGCATCTGCAACATTCCACATTCCTCTTCAGTGAAAATTCCCATTTTTCCCCCCCTCAGGAAAATGACACATTTGTACAGGTCACATTCTTGTACAGCTTTTAAAAATTTTATCAATGTTATTTGTTTTTATATCACAGCCATTTCCTGATACAGTCATTCTAACCTCCACCTATATACACATTCAGTGAGCTTACCTTTGTAACTAAGAAAAGCAGTTAAGCAAAGCCAATAGTCCCAGGGACTACATCAGATAGTGTATTCAATATTCTGCACCCCTAGTCCCCCACTTCTCCAAGGAAAGGTGGAAGGTACAGTTTCTCCTTGAAAGACTACATGACTCCCAGAATCTCAAAGCTGTGCTTAGGGTTGAAAAATCAGTCATAGAATGTGAAGGCTGAAGATAAAAACTATCCCTGAGCCTTCAGGCTCCCCTAGCCAAACAGTAGTAAATGTCCTTGGGGTCTTCCCTTGGCCTTCCAAAGCTGAGAATTTCTGGACAGAGCACTTGGCCAGGTAAAGCAGACTCTCTTGGGGGGTGGGGGTGGGGGTGGGAGCTGCACAAAAAAAAAACAACAACAAAAACCTTCATCTGCTGCTTTCTACCTTCTTTATTGATTCCAACTTGAGATAGTCCGTGGTCCAGTGGGCCAAAATGGAAAGGGAGATGGAGGGACAATGGAGCCTCTGTTTCCTTCTCTTCTGCTCTCTCCCATTCTGCTCCCTGCCAGCTACAATGATAGCAGGTTTTTAAACCAGTTTCATATATGCCCTCAGATTTTTAGAAGTAGAACTCAAAAGCATTTAATCATTAAAAAAAAATAAAACCAAAACTGGACAAAAACGAAATCTTGACTCTGTTTCCTTATTCAGGACTTCCAGAGATCAGGAAATTAAAGATGAAGGTCAAGACTCCTGTGGGCCACTCATTTCAAGGACACTCTGACTTCCTACCAGGGGGAAAAATACCTCCCACACCAAATAACTGATACCTAAAATTCCCCACTTAGATATTCTTTCCCTTGGTCCGAGGAGTCTTGTCCTCTGTTAAAATGAAAACATCTTGGGAAGGGTTCCACATCAAACATCATCAGCCATTCATCCCTTGGTGTGAAAGAGTTTATAAGATCCTTTTCTGCGAGCAGGCACTGTAGTAACTTCCTAACAGGTCTCCTTGCTTCCAGTCTGGCCCCTCTCCAATCCTTCCTTCACATGGCTGCCTTCACCTGAAATAATCTTCCCAAGCTACAGGCCTCCTGCTTGCTTAGGGATCTTCAATGGCTTCCGGTTGCTTCTGAAGGAAAAAAAAATCTAAATTCCTCATCATGGTCCTTCCCAATGTGGCTTAATAACAACAGATGTTTATATGGCTCTGTACATGATGATCTCATTTTATCCTCCTAATAGTGCTGAGTAACTGCTACAGATCTTATTACCACCATTTTACAGATGAAGAAACAGACTAGAGAGTTTTAATGACCTGCACAGTATTACGTGGGCAACTAGGTCATGCAGTGGATAGAGTGCCAGCCCTGGAGTCAGGAAGATCTGAGTTCTAATATGCCTCAGACATTTACTGACTGTGTGACCTTGGGCAGGTCACTTAACCCCGTTTGCCTCAGTTTTCTCATCTGTAAAAAGAGCTGTAGAAGGAAATGGCAAACCACTGCAGTATCTCTACCAAGAAAACCCCAAATGGGGTCATGGAGTCAGAAATGACTGAAATGATTCAACAATAATACGGAGACCTAGGTAGTATGTTCCTAAGGAGGGATTAATAGGAACGCAAGCTGACATCAATGCAGTAGGAAGAGCTGCGTGACTAGCGCGTGACAGTTTGCAAAGCGCTTTATAGACATTATGCCATTTAAACCCAGAGTTCCAGCCCAGGACTTGCTGACTCTAGGCCCAGCCCCCACCTGCTGTGCATCACATCAGGTTTTAGCCTCCCTTTTCCTTTCCAGAATTAATGTCACATTATTCCCCTTTGCACATTTACATTGCAGTCAAATCGATATACCTGGCATTTCCCCACCCTGACACTCCATTTCCTGTCTGCGTGTCCTGAGTACATGCCCTCATCATGAATGCCGATGTGTCATGGGCTCACGAAGAGTCAGAAACTACTGAAAAATGACTGAAATGTGCCCGGCACTCTGCAAGACCCTGGAAATAAAATAGTACTTGCTGTCAAGAAACTTCCGTTCTATTGGAGGTGAAGGTGGGATGGGGGGAACGACGTGTTTCAGTCATGTTTGACTCTTGGTGACCCCATTTAGGATTTCCATGGCAAAGGTACTGGAGTGATTTGCTGTTTCCTTCTCCAGCTCATTTTACAGATGAGGAAACTGAGGTAAACAGTTAAGTGACTTGCCCAGGGTCACACAACTAGTAAGCATCTGAGGCCTGATTTGAACTCACAGAGATGAGTCTTTCTGACTCCAGACCCAGCGCTCTCTACTTCCTAGCGGCCCTCTGCTATGCACATGATAGGCATTTAATAAATGCTTGTTGAATGACCAAATGACTAAATCTTTCTTTTCTCTCTTAGGGGGCGATCCTTACCACCATGCTGGCAACACGAAACTTCTCAGGTGAGAACAGTTTTTCCCAGAAAAGAAAGAATAAGGTGCTGGCTTCCTTGCCCTGTACTTTTTTCTTATTCAAGAGGTCAGAGAGTCAAGACTTTTTCCAAGCTAAACCTTGCCAGGAAGAAGGCCTAGAGAAGGACCCAGCTCCAAGGCTTTCTCAGTGGCTCCAACAACCCGCTTCATTCTCAGCCCACTTCCTATCCCCTCCCCACACATGCTTCCTTCTGCCCACATCTTTGCCAGTGCTCAGGCAAATCTCTGTTTCTCCAACCCTGACTCTCCCATTGTCCTGTGAGGGGCTTCCCCTTCCACCCTGTCCCCACATGGCCGTGGTCTTTCTTGGCTGTGTAAGCAACATCTGGATCCTATTGTGTTCATCTCACCTGCAAAGTGGGGCCTCCTGAAGACTGCTGCTCCATCACCAGGGCTCTACCCTACTGTGTCCTGCTGCAGACAGCGGCGGCTGTGTCACCTGCAGCCCCCGGGCCAGAATGGGGGTCCTGCTGGAAGGCCACGTTACAGTTACAGTCCTGTTCTGTTTTGTTTTCTCTTCTCTGTGTCTCCTTCTTCCTCAGTATCTTACTTGTGTCTCAGGGGTCTCTCTTCCCTACTGAGTGTTTGTGCTGCCCACAGCACCCCCAGTGAGAACTGCAGGTCTCCCGTGTGTTTGTCCAGGCGTGTTGGTTTAGCCGCTCTGTAGCCTCTGGGTCTTGTGTTTTGTTTTTGTTTTTGCTTTTGTTCCCAACCATCTAAGATCTTATCTTGTCAAGGGGTAGATATACTTCAGAAAGTGCTGATGGCTCAGAGGAAAGAATCTGAGGTTATGTGAGATGAGGAGCTACTAGGCATGGTATTCGACCAGTCTATAGCCACTGCTTCTCTCTGGTATGCTTGGGCACCTAGGAGAGGGGCCCTACTGCTGGTGACCTCAGAGAGAAGGGTGAAACTAGGAGTGGAAGTCAGGGAAGAGAGGCTCAAGCTGAGGGCATTCAGGTGTCTGGGTGTAGACCCCAGAAGCAGATATGAATGGAAGCCAGATCAGGAGGACAAGCCGAGTATGGTCCCAGGAAAGGGTTGGGGGCAGCCTCCGGAGTGGAGCTGGATGCACCCGCCACGCCTGGATGAAATGTCTTTGCACCACGTGACGTCGCTGTTAGTCTGTAATAACTGAATGTCGGAAGTCAGTCTCTCTCTCTCTCTCTCTCTCTCTCTCTCTCTCTCTCTCTCTTTCAGTCTGTCTGTCTCTCTCAGTCTCTGTCTCTCTCTGTCTCTCTCTGTCTCTCTCTGTCTGTCTCTCTCTCGCTCTCTCTCTCTCTCTCTGTCTCTCGTATGGTTCATCTTTCTGTTCACATCTCATAGCTCCTTCCCCATTTCCTCGTGCCTCCCCTCCCTGCCAATCCCTTCTACTTGCCCTGAAAGTTCCTGTTACTTTTGCTGTGATATTGTACTGCTGGGATTAGGACCACATAATGTCACACCAATACTAATGGGACTTTTTCCATTGTCTGCTGCTCTACAGAGGACTTGGGGACCCTGTTTCCCAGGTCCCAGCTGTGTTTCCCCCTTCCTGCCCCCCCTTTGTCCCCTAGGTCTGTGCCCACTCAAGAAGCCCCCATTTGGGGTTTTCTAAGGAGAAAGGAGGCAAATGCTTTTCCAAATGTTGATGGACCTAGATTTGTTTGCACTCTGTTTTGGGACAGGGATTCTGGTGCCGACAGTCTTGTCTCTCCACCTAAACTTGAACTCTAATCTTTTTCTGCTTCCTTTGTCTCTTTTCTTTCCTTATCTTGCCCATCCCTCTGTCTGTGTCCGTCCCTCTTTCTTCCCCAACTTCCCATCCTTTTCCTTCTCTTTCTCACTCTCCTTCCCCTTTCTTCTCCTTCCTTACTTCCTCTCTCCCATCCTTTCCTTCCTCCCTCCCTCCCTCTTTCCTTCCTCCCTTCCATCTTCAATTCCTCCCTACCTCTTTTCCTCCTTTACTTCCCTCCCTCCTCCTGCCTTCCTTCTTTCTCTCCTTCTTTCCCTCCTTCCTTCCTTCCTCTTTCCCTTTCCTTCCTTTCTTCCTCCTTCCCTCCCTTCTTTCCTCCCTCCCTTCTTTCCTTCCTTCCTTCCTTCCTTCCTTCCTTCCTTCCTTCCTTCCTTTCTTTCTCCCTTCCCCCTCACTGCTTTCCTTCTCCCTTGTTTTCTAACCTGGTGCTAACAGTGGGCAGACAGACCACCGCTCCGGCCACAATGTCAGCTGCGGCCTCCGGTGCCACCATGGGGTTGGTGGAACAAGGTAGACGTGTCTTGAAGAGTCCCGCCCTCCCTTCCCACCCCTTCCTCACCCACCACCTGCTTAGAAACTCAACCAGCATGCAACTTCATCCATCATATACAACTCATCCAGCCAGTGCCCAGCTCCCTGCTAAGGCTTTGGGGACTGTTCCCCTGACTGCAGCCAGAAAGGCACAGAGCCGGGAGGCCCAGCTGCGTCACCCCCTCACCCACCCACAGAAATAGGAATAAGAAAAAAGCTGTCATCAAGAAAGACCAAGGGTCTACACTCTCAGAAAAGAACTTTGATGTAATGAGACCTGAGAGTCCCCTGGTCCCTCGGGTTAGGGCATAGGGTATCTATTCCAAAGTGTCCACCTTCCCAGGGATTCTACTGCTTTCTGGAACTTGCCTGAAATGGCCCCTGTTCAGGATTGTGTTGATGACACAGCAGCTACAGAGGCAGAGCTGCTGCTGGGCAGATCTGGAATCCTGAATGGGGAACAGGAGCAGAGGCGGCTTGGGAAGGGGAAAGCCAGTTTTAGGCTTTGGGCCCCTCTCAGTCACTGTTTAGCCTCCTACTTGGACTCTGTGTGCCCTGGGGGGAACAGGGAGTACTCATTGCCACTTCTCATCCTAAGGCTCTCAGCTTCCTGTCCCAGCATCCTCACCTCCTGTCCCAACCTGCCCCTGCTGCTGAATCTAGGGCAAGTGGTGGCAAGAAGCACATACAGGAGGGGCCTGGCAGAGAAGGAGGGTTGGGGGTAAGAGGGATAGGATCCAGGTCTCAGAACCCGAATAGGCAGCCTTTGAATGTACCTTCTTTCTCCCATGGGGACCTGTGGCCCTGAGTTCCATTTCTGAGGTTAAAGAAAGTGGCATCCCAGTCACTGCCCATGGAACTCTCTGCTTAGCCCCTCATGGGCTCTGTCCAGGGAAAGCCATGGCTGCATTGGGTTGGGACCGGTAAGTACAGGAGCCTGTAATCTAGTATTGCCTTGTTTTCCACGATGCATGTGTGGCCCCTGCTTTGTCTGCCACTTGCAGGGAGAATTCTATTCTTTATTCTGTGTCTCAGCTATGAATTGATCCTCCGTGAGAATGGTCTTGGCAGGTTTCCTTTTAGATCTCTTCCTCTGAATACCACCCTCCTCCCTGCCTCACCCCCTCTCAGCCCACAACATGTCCAGGTTGGTGAAGAACCTGCCAGTTTTTTGTGTGGTGTGCTCCTTGAGGCCAGAGAAATTGTTTTCCTGGGACCATATGAGTATTGGAAATTCCAACACGGACTGGGAATCCCAAGTCTTAGTTTCTAGTTCCAGCTCACTCTGTCACTGACTTGCTGTGTGACCTTGGTCCAGTCTTCTCATCTCTCTGGGTCTCAGGTTCCACCTCATAAAATGGGGGGTTGGAGTGGATGATGTCCAGGGTCCATTTCCCACCTCACCATTCTGTGCTTTCCTGACTCACTGGCTCATACCTGGGAAGTCCAGCAACAAGATCTGGATGACAGGTCCCAGCTTAGCACAGACTTTCTTCTGTGACCAGGTAGCAGAAGAGCTCTCCTTGAGTGAAGGCCTCCTGTTCAAGGGCAGGAGAAGGCAAGGCGGTGGAGTGGGGTGGAGGGAGAACAATTGAGCTGGAATGCTCCTCTATGGATCATAGGAGTAGAGTTTCCTAGGAGGAGGAAAGCATTTCCACGGGACGTCCCCACACCTCTTCCCTTACAACATGCACAGCCTTCCCCCCAGCCAGATGGGATCAGATTCTGAGATCTCATATGGAGCTTGTGAAAGCCCATCTCAGTGGAAGTATTGTGGTATGATGGAAACAGCCATTGCTCTGGAGTCAAATAGTGCCTCTGATACTTACTCTGTAACCTTGGGTAAATTATTTCACTTCCCAGGACATCAGTTTCCACCTCTGTAAAATGAGGTGGTCATCCTGAATGGCCTCTGAGGTCCCTTCTGGCTCTGCATTTATGATCCCATGATCAGTAGGCTGTAGTAGGAACAAACAAACAAAAAGTCCTCTTTTTTCCCAGCAAAGAATACTAAAATCTTCTCCATGTCCCTAAACTCCAAAGGAGATCTTTGCCCAGAGATGCTTTTCCCTTCCTAGCAGGGAGGATGTAACTACCAATGTTTCTACCAGGGAAGGAACTATTCTCTCTGATAAGGAGCAAAGTCAGTAATATTGCCTAAAGGGAGGCTCCTTTGAGTGGATCACAGGCTGGAGAGCAGTGGTTGAAACGGGTCTCAGCATTAGTTGTCTTTCCAATGAGAGAGCTGTCTACAGAAAGGATTAAGCTAAATGCTGCCCCCCCCCCTTTTAATGGTTACCGGGCTCTCTGAGGTGGAATGAGGGAATCTGGAGCTGAGGGAGGGTGGGGAGGGACAGAACTGGAGTGAGATGGAGCTGATAGCTCCCTGGGGTGGGTGTGATATAAAAGATGTGATGTAAAGGAGTCGGTGCCCCCTTGAAAAGGCTGCCTCTGAGCCTCACTCCATGCCTGGAGCTCCAGCTGGTGACGAATGCTGGTATTGCTTGCAGGTTGAATGTGGTAAACGATGCATGGGTTTGTGTGCATGTCCCAGGGCCCACCAGACCCTGGCAGCGTTTCTGCTTTGTTTGTGTGAGTAATGGCGCTGCATGTGGGAAGGAACTCAGCATGGCAGTCCCAGAGTGGCCTAAGGTCAGAGTTTAGCAAGGAACAAAAGTGGGGCTTCTGGGAACCACAGCTCGGC